TGGCAAGATTAGTGCTCGTTGTTGGCATATTGCGACGCGCCGTCAAATGTGGCTGCAATTAAAAACTGTTACGGCTCATGCTAATCAGCCCAAGCAGCTACGCTCCGAGGTCGACTCCACTGCCGATCCCTTCACCCAACGGCAGCCAACCAGCGCACGCTCCACACTGGAAAGCATACCGCCAGCCCAGCCTGGCCGGGGACTACGGGGTTTAGACAACTGGCAAACAGACAGCGGACAGAAACATGGCAAAACTGCAAAGAAAGAATTCATTATTTCAGTTTTAATTGCTTTTTTCATACTTTCGAAAATTTGAGCGCCAGCCGGATCCCCCTTTCCTTTCCTCGGGGACTGGGGTCACCGCTTTGCATGTTCAGGCCACATCTTTCACAAACAAACAACTGTTTGCAAGAAATTCAATTATGCCTTTTAATAACCAACAGCGCGGATCAAAAATTGCCAAGCACCAGCTAAAACGCATATTGCATGCGGTAGCTAATACTCGAGAATAAAAAACACGGGAATAATGCACAATCATAATATGAATGGTTACTCAAACATCCGCTTCTATCAACTTAAAGATACATAACATTTTTCTTATTTTAAATGTTTTTCTATCTCATAATCGGTGGCATGTTCGACTTAATTATTTATTTATAAATATGGCTAAACAAAAAGAAATAAATACAAGAAAGAAAGACTATATTTGAAGCGTCGAATATTACACACTCTTCTTGGTCAAAATGAGTCTGCTGAAATTTAAATTTTAGTTTAAATCAAATGTATTTGTTCTGCTACACGATATAGTTAGTTGGTTATATTGTTTTGGAAGGGGCTATATATATCAACGTTGCTTTACAACTGAAGAGTTTTGCTCACAAGATGTTTCCGTCGAAGATGTTTCCTTCAATGCGATACACATGTTACGACAAAGCTAGAGTACTCTCTACAAGGGTATAGCAAAGAAATACAACTTGCCAAAAAGACAAACACGGCCAAATGATGATGCCGAATATTATTGTGCTGTCTATGAAAGGATAGCGAAGAAATCAAATAGTCGGACGGCAAGCCCAGAAACCTTTTCGAGCACAATCAGCTTAATCATAAATTAACAATAAATTTGTGGCCAACACACAGTCCGCCTCTCCACAGTCCACAGATAAATTAGTCAAAGCGACACGCCATAAAGCATTCGGTGAACCCATAAATCCCCACAGACGGTGGCTGTTGTCATTGTCAGCCACCGTCCCGCCGCACCGCCACACCGCCGCACCGCCACACCACCAGCCTGATCCGCGCATTAACATATTAATGTTTTGGCTAGTTGGGGGATCGAGTCGGTAGTTGGTGGCTTTGGCGCACTGATCTAGCCGCCAACGCGACGTTGACTCTAGTAGATCGGAGGCTTTTGGCGCTGATTTCATCTGGTGCTCTGGATGAGCCAGGGGGATTCTGTGGAACGAAGCGACGGGGCTTGTAAACCAAAAATTTATGCATGCCAATGGAGCATTTAAAGCGACATTTGTCCGCTGTAGCCATAACTCATTCGTATGTAGCTCGAGCAGTCAGCCCCTGTGCTTGGCCAGCTCACACGCTCTGCGTTGCTCTGCTCTGCTCTGCTCTGCTCTGCTCTGCTCCAGTGGCGATCGGACACATTTGCCGGGCCATTAGACCAGGCCGAGACGAGGCTCTGGTGTTGCCAACCATTCGAACATTGTTGATTTGGGTCACAATTAATTGCTTTTCGAGCGCCATAAATACAGCACCGAAAGTGGTAATCACAACAAAGGGCACAGCCGCAACTTTGACCTCCCCAAGAGCTCGCTTTTAATTCCGTTGGGCGTGCGGATAATTATCACAACGCCCTTCTGGACTTTGAGAGAAAAAAACCTGTTGCTTCAACTAAATTTAGCATGGATTGTGAAAAGGGGGGAAATCGAAATCTGCCAGATTTATCAATTAGTCGAAACTGGTTTAAGTCTAGCTTAGCAAATAATAACTGTTTAAATCAAAAATTGAATAAATTTAATATTTGATTTTATGCATAGATTTATACAACACGGAAAGTTAATTTTATATAATGTTGTCCTATTAAAATGGACTTTGCAACAATCCATTTTAAGGTCATTTTGAAAGTTAATTTAAAGCCGTGCCACATCCCAGCTTAGAGAGAGGCAGAGTTCTGCTGTTTGTGTTTATCTTAAACATAAGGATAATGTAATTAAATCCCTTCCAGTTAACAGGCTTACACTTCGCAGACTCCGTCCGCACTGCAGTCATTTGCGAATCTGTCGTGGTAGGCGGGTTGGTTGTAAACATGCTGCGGATGCAGTCTAAGGATTCGGCAGCGACTCAGAAAGGATAATTCGCCAACCGACAATGCAGAGACAAAGGTGTTTTGTTTTTATGACTTTGTAACTCCTTCGCCCGGTAGACGGTCGTCCTGAGTCGGTTGTCTTTGCTCGTGTTTGCGAAAGGATAATTTTACAATAGTTGCTGGCAGAGGCAGAGCCAGGGGCAGGGGCAGAAGAGAGAGAGAGAGAGGCAGGTACCGTGTCGGGGCTAAGTGGACACAATAGAACGCCTATTCACAGTGCGAATCCGATGGCCAAAAGAGTGAACCGTTCTGCACAATTGTGTTGACAAAGGCGGGCCTTATTTTGACTATTTAAAGGATTACGCTAAAGGATTGACTTTGCAACCTTGACTGCTGCATCGATCGTCTGCCAACGCCCACAATGAAGTATTCCGCGAATATTCTTCGCCTTGCCAATTCGCCAGACTGTGGGTTTTATGGCTCGCGAATGAGTTAAAAGTGACCTTTGGATTTTCAATAAAATTACTTCACTTCTACGAAGGACATCGAAGAGTTAACGTAACTCTTTCGCAACTTGCACGTAAGCCTTTTACCACTAACGAAGAAGTTGTAAAAAAAAACACACACAAAAACAAACACAACACAAAACTGACTTTAAGCGCTAAAAAATATTCTCAATATATGACTTTAGACTTAATGTTAGCCAAGAGGCCAGGTAGATATAGAAACAATTCTTATGGCATTTCGTAGAAAACACGTACATATTTAAAATTGCCAAAAATGAATAGAAATTAAGAGAAAATATTTTTGGTTTTGGTCCATGTTGAACTGATGAATAAATAAATAAGCCATACTATAGCTATAACAGTATTTGTTTATTTAAAATAGTAATACTATAATACGCATTACGATAACAATATTTGTTTATTTAAAATAGTGCACTTAAATGTTTAAACTTGTATATTATTGCGCGGGTAACAAGGAATTCAAATAAAATTAATATATAAATTTAAAATAAAATCTGATTAATAGAATTATTATAATTTTTGTTTCGCAATATCTTGAAATTAATTTAAATAAATTATTTAAATATCTAGATACAAAAAAAAACTGTTTTAAAATGTTGCCGATTGAAAAATGCTCTGCTTAACTTAGCTGCTTCCATTTCACTAATTTAGGGAAAATGAGAGAGACGATTTCGATGCGTTATAATAATTTACTTTATCTTCAGATCGATTATCTTTTTTTTTTAGATTTTGTTTCTCGTAATACCCTATAAAATAACCAAAGATGCTGCTGCCCGGTGCTGTTGTCCACTTTGGTCTAATGAGTCGTATAAATGCCGCCTGGCAAATGGGATGGCACATGCTTCTTGGGTTGCATTGCCGATAACTGTCATGGAGAGCAATGAAAAATGACCAATCAATGTCTCACTTCAATAGATGAGCAAACAGCGAAAGGCGAAAAGGATGCCGTTGCTGGTGGTGGTGGTGGGTAACGGCCGGAAAACACCCAAACCGACCAAAATGTGACGTTTTTCCATTGCGAAAATAGTGCATTTTATAGAAAATCAACTGATAGGGAGGGAGGGGAGTGGAGGGGAGCAGCGAACTGCAGCTGCTCGGATTTAGAGTTGATATCAATAACGTTTGTCTTCTGGCTTAAGCGTGAAAAGTCCTGGGTGGTTGCGATGTGCAAAGGATTCTTAATGATGCCACAGGCCTAACAAAGAACTTGCGCCAACACCCTGCAAGAGTAAATTATAATAAATATAACTAATCGAAAATCTGGATGTATAAAATGAAAGAGTTTATAAATTAATTGAGAAGAAGCCTTTAAGCAATTTTAAATAATTTACTTCTGCTAATAATATGTAATAATTACTGCAGCTAATTAAGTAAATATTTATTTATTACTTTTTTAAATTGACATGTCAAATTTGCTGCCTGTAAAGAATAAAGTGAGTATTATTCCGGGCCAAATGATTTTATTAAGTTAAGTAAGTAATTTAACACAACAATATGCTGTATTCCCCAATTTTGAATGGATGCACATTCAAAAACAATTCCAGTGAAAGTTTTAGCATGAGACCAGTGAATAAAATACACAAATCAATTTTGATAAATTCGTTCAAGTACAAGAAGTACAAAAATTGATATATATATTTGTTTTTTAATAAATATTAATCTTATAATCGATTTAGACATTATCTATACACTTTCGCTTAACAAAACATTTTCTTTCAGTCTCCAAGTTGTGTGCATGATCGATGCCTGGCCACAGCCAATGGCTCAATGATAATCGAGCGCTCCAGGCAACAGACAACAGGCAAGAGGCAAGAGGCAAGAGGGAGCGGGCAACGGTTAACCCATGGCCAGCCACTGGGTTTTGAGGTAAAGTCGGAGTTCGCACGGCAAGGAGTCGGCTCGGCCTGTGCACAGGCGCACTCATCCTATGCTGGTGTCCTGGGCACCGTAGGGAGTGCGCGCTGCTTGTGCGCCGACAGCGACAGCGACTGCCACTGCAACTGCAACAGAGGCAGCGACTGCGCAGCATCTCGTTTGACATTTGCGTGTCACCGGCAAATGGTCGAGACATTTTTGTGTGGCGCGTTTGTTCCGGTTGTGTGTGTTGCCCTATTGCAGTGTGTGTGTGTGTGTGTGTGTGTGTGTTGCGGGTACGTTTAGGGCAGTGGTAGATGATAGAGCGCTTGGTTGGAGGTGCTTAGCTCCTGCTGTTGTTGTTGTTGTTGCTGCTGCTGCTGCTGCTGGTAGTTGCACTGCTGCTGGGCCTGTTGATGGTATTCCGGTGTGTACTGTGCCTCGTACTGTTGGCCAAAGTGCGGCGGCGGCGGCGGCGACTGCTGCGGGTAATCATAGCTCTGCTGTGTGGCGGGCAAGTAAGCGGGGTATGCAGCATAGGGCAACTGAGACTGTGACTGCGGCAGCGACTGCGACTGTGGTGGAGGCACGGCGATGATATCTAAGGGCGGCAAGAGGGAGGCATAGCCGGCGCTGGTGCAGTGCTCGGATGAGGTGTCCAGGGTGCGATCCTTTTTGGACTTCATGCGTCGGTTCTGGAACCAGATCTTGATCTGGCGCTCGCTCAGACTCAGCGCATGGGCAATATCGATGCGACGGCGGCGAGTGATGTACCGATTGAAATGGAACTCCTTCTCCAGCTCCAGGGTCTGGTAGCGCGAGTAGGTTTGACGAGTGCGTTTCGAATCTTTGCAATCTGCAAAAGGTAAACAGAAGAGAAATTTTGCAAGTAAGTAACAGTTCAAACTGAGAGAGAGAGAGAGGAAGTGTGTGAGTGAGAGGGAGAGTGGGATGCCTACCTGATGCGAGAGTCTCCTCAATGTGCGACCAATTGAATTCGTTGTTGCTGCTGCTACTGGAGGCAGCTGTCACATTGCGATGATTGATTTCATTCTTCTCGGCCGGCGACTGGGGTGGCGTGCTAATGCCAATGCCAATACCAATGCCATCGACAAGGGAGGCGGGTGTGGTGGCGGTGGGCGTGGTGGCTGCCGGTGGCGGGGTGACAAAGTCGCCATGCTTGGCCTGCTTACGTGGCGAGTACACATCCAGATAGTCAACATCTTCGCTGCTGCTGCGCTGCGGCGACATGTGCGTCTGCTGGGTGGAGGGCGTTGGCACGGCGTAGTCCTGCTCGTAGCAGGGTGACAGCTCTCCGGCGGAGCTGCTCCTGTTGGGCTTCTTCACCTGCTCGAACGTGGTGTAGAAATAGTCGGGCGTGTATTTCAGTTTCTTGACGGGATTCGTGAGCAGGGCACGCAATGTGCTTGGTCGCTCCTCCACGGCGGCAATGATGTCCGCAGCGCTCTCCTCTGCCTTCCGCTTGCGGCTCTTCAGTGGGGCGGGTGTGGTCACTGTAGCTGCAGCCGGAGCCGGAACCGGAACCGAAACCGGAGCTGGTGCTTGGTAATGAGGCAGTGCAGCTGGAGCAGGCATTGTCATTGTCTGCTGCTGCTGTTGCTGCTGGAGCTGGTGCTGGTGCTGGTAGTTGGAGTAGTAGCAACTCTCGCCGTAGCTCTCCTGGCCGTACTGTGCATAGCTGCTGGGCTGGTAGCTCGTCGGCCAACTCGAGCAGGAGGAGGTGGAGTTGCTCTGCTGGTAGTAGCTGTTGCTATTATCGTAGTAGGTGGGCGGCAGGCCATGGTGGTACATGTTGTACATGCTGTCGGCATAGTAACTATGGCTGTGCGTATTCGTGGCTGCCATTGCGTCTGTGTCGAGTCCTTGCTGTACGTAAGTGATGTGTGCGATGTGTGCGCGACGCTGCTGCGTTTGCGAATGAGCTGCTCTATCCCCTGATCCTGCCTTAATATAGCCTAAGCGTCGAACTGCGAACTGATGCACGGCACACGCGCTCGTCATAGCGCATAAATATCCCTGCGCATGACGCTTTGACACATGCTGCGCTCACTACCCCTCCAGGACCTTGCCAGATTTATTGCTTGCAGGGGTAGTGCAGCAACGTTTATCCGCCAGTCCAGTTATCCGCTCAGAGCGAGAGAGAGAGTGAGAGAGTCACATCGAGCAGGAGTCGTCCTCATAGCTTGCTTACCTGCTGCGCTGCTTATTACCTACCCATCGCGCCCATTATCATCGCGAGTTGGCGAAACTTATCCGTCGGCGTATTTCTCCTACGACAACGGTGTCCTTGAGTCGGCTTGAGACGTGCGCAGGACGTCCCACAGGCGCGTAATTAAGTCGCATACGTTTGTAGGTGCGCGAGCGGGATGGCGACTGCTTTGCTGCATTCCTCTAATTGCAATAATCATAAAGACATAAACAGAACTGTAAACTGTAAACGTTGCTAAAACGGTTTGGCACAAAAGGCTTTTCCTTCTGGCCCTGGTTTATTGTCACAGGCCGGCAGCAACAAATTCGTAAAAATTTCTCTGGCCCGAAATGAAGGGAATCGTACCGAAGCTGCTGCCAGAGGTTCCAGGAATCGCGAAGGTATTCACATCAGCCAGCAAATATCTGGTTGATATTAGCCGTAGACTTGCATAAGTCGCGCAAAGGCTGTGAAAGGATAAAATTGCGCGTGCTCTTTAAGCACTCCCGCATCCCAGACCCATACCCGTTCCTCATCCCATTTCCATTCTCGTTGTGCCATCTTCAGTGGCTCTTTGTTGCGTCGCGTGTTGCACTTTTTGTTTGCTCGCGAGGGTTGTCACTGTGGCCGGGGCAAGTGCCTAAAGACGCTTGTGCATATTTGCATAGCTGACCCGTAAGCCGCTCAAGTAAATTGACTGGCCAAAAGGCGAGCGAACTTAACAGCCAAATGGCCAACTTTGTGTTTACACGACTTTCGTTATCCGCTTACCCAGCAGCAAATGGAGATGGCAGCAGCCTCAGCCTCAGCATCAGCAGAAGCCACCACCCCCGACATTGATCTAAAGTCCACCCTCTGCACCCTTATCGACTGATGTCTATAGATTCTGGATCTGCCATATGTGTGCAGTTTGTGCATGTGCGAATTGTGCGGCTGCCTCCTGCCTTCTGCCTCTGTTGCCAGTCCCTGTTCACTGTACCCTGTTCGCTGTTCCTCTCTCCCTGCCCCAACTGCAATAGTTTGCCTTACCTCTGCCATTGCTATTGTTGTTGCATTGCGCACGTTCGGTGACAGCCGAGCCAGAATTTATGGCGTTTTTCAGTTTGACAGGCGACTGCGATTCATGACCCACGGCAACCCACTTTCTGCCCTACCGGGAGGTTGTTGCAAACGCTCACAAATCTATAGATAGGGCATCGATGTTGGTAACAGATACTCGCATATAGCGAGGCTTATGGATGAGGACATTTTTCTAACGCTGCAAAACATAATATAACTTTTGCTAACATCTTGCAAATAGTAAGTAACACTAATAATACATTTTTAAAAATATATCTTAAAATGCATTCCAAAATATTAACCTAATAAACACAACAAATACAAATATTTGTATTATTATTTAATAAAACTGAGTTAAGGCATCTGTCAGCCTTTCACTTAATATGTTGCTACCAATCAATGAGAGCAATCAATCAGTCTGTCAAATGGCTTGACCAAAAAGCTTCATTTCCTCAAATCAAATAGATCAATTTTCGTATCAGGTGCAGTTGAAATTTTGCAGCAACCACAGCCACTCAGCGTTTCCTTTCTGGGCGATTGACTTTTATCACTCAACTGATTGTATAATCCCAATGAAATAGTTTGTAAAGCGCATTCGCAATCGTACAGAGAAGTGTTGCTTAATCTGATTGTGTGAGCCAGAGTCAACTTTTGCAGCAACAATAATTGAGTTGTAAGGCCCACATGTGAGTGTTGCAACCACAACACACCCCAGAGCCAGTAGACGACAGTACGAGAGGAGGACGTGGACGATTCGTGCGTTTTTATTGCCGAATTAATAAATTACCTTGACAGTGAATCGGGACCATCCCATTGTGTGTGTGCCGTACCCCATCCAGCTTGCTGCCCGCTGCCCGCTGCTCGCTCATCCCCTTTGCCATGCACTTTCATGAGGGTTAGCTACAGCAACTGGACATCGGCTGTGCATATATATATATATATATATATAGAATTTATCAGGCACGCGCCTGAAGTAGGCGAATGTGTTAATATCCAGCGATGAACCGTTAATATTATCAGCTGCACGCAGGGATATTGAAAAAGTTATCATTTAATATCAATGCTAATGAAGAAATATCCACTAGCAAACTATTTCGATATTGACTTCCATTTCTCATTAATATTTCACAAGCTTCAAAGGATTTCACATGAAATTACAAATTGGCATTTGAATTGTGTGCATTTCCCCCCTTGCCTTTCCCCCTTGGCTTGGAGCATTACATAAGTATCGCTTAAGATACTTCAAATCGTGCGATTGTCTGTTTGTTTGTTTATTTGTTTGGCTTCGTTTACTCGGCCGAGGGTCACACGCTGTGGCTTTGAAGTTGCTGGATCTCCTCTGGGAGTCGTAGAGTCGTCTATGGCTGGCTCATTGCTCATTACGCCGTCCCCAAATGCTAATTGGGCGGCAACAACAACACCAACAACAGCAGCCAGAAACCACAACAATCGACAACATCGCCACTCATTATCAGACCGAAACATTCGGCGTCAAGCTGCGTATAAAATGAAAATAGCTGAGAAAAATTATCAGCAACAATAACAACAACAACAACAGGAACAGCAACAGCAACAAAACAAACAAATTGAAGTGTTGTAAATTTTTTAGTCAGATTTATGTATATATAGTACGAGCGTCAGATTGTCTAACCTGAACACAGCATGAGTCTCAATTCGTATTCCTATTCGTATTCTCAGCCCGAAAAATTTCGAACAAATCCTAATCGAATCCGTTGAAATGCCATCAATTTGATTGCCTCAATCGACGGCTAATTTGTGAAAAGAGAAAGAAAATTATTCAAAAATTTTGTTTGATTTAACAATTAAAATGCACACGTCTCGATTCGGGTTGGGAATATTAATGTATATTCAGGCCCAGTCGCTGCAGGTGTTGCCGCTTGCCTCTCGGCAATATATTCACCCCGGTCAGATGAAGTAATTTTCGGTGTTGGCTACTTACGCTGTAGTTGTTGCTTAGTTGTTGCCACATTTGGCATGCCTCATTCGAATGCTGGACAATTTCACAATTTCACTGGCCTTGATCCACAGTTTCCCGCTGCAAAAGTCCTCTCGAGGTCACTTCAATCAGTGATGCTGAATGAGCGCCTCGGAAAAGCCAGCGTGGGTGAGCTGACCTTGGATAATCACGATCAATTCCCATTGCACCAATCAAAGTCAAGGCGACTTGCAACTCCTCAGGAGGCTGTGCTCCTTCCTTCTGCGCTATGTGTACAAACATTCTCTCAATGCGTCACGCGTCGCATTCGTCCTTGGCTAGTCGTCATCCTCGTCGTCATCGTCGTCGTTGTCGGCTTCTGTTCTCTTTCTTTGGCTGTCGTTAGAATATTTGCGCTCAATGTCATCCTGCCTGCAACCTCCAGTGTGTGTGTGTGTGTGTGTGTTTGTGTGTGTTGACATTTCCTTAGCGCATTAATTGCTTCTGTCACACTTATCTGCATTGTTTCGCACTCATCATAATGAGGTCCTTGTAAAGTTGTAGCAATGGAATGAATTATGCATTTACATTGATCTCTCGGTTTCCCCTTCTTTATGGCCATAAATATAAATGTCGAATTGGGCCACAATCAATCGACAATGTTGGCACCTTCCGTGTGTTAATAAATAAGTACATTTATTGGCCGGTTTGAATAGGAATCTACCATGGAAAAGAATTAAAATTATCTACTTACAACATATGTATCTTAAACCACTTTTCATTATTTTACACAAGTGGAAGTAATAAACGTTGTAAATCAATTATAATTAAGTGGTGGGGCGGAGTACCAAAATTAATTATTGCTTGGGTGCTGGCAATATTTATTGGGTGTTGGTCACCAATCACCGTTCAATATGTAAATCTAAAAAATTTACATTTGATTAAGATAAAACCAGTAATAATGATTTAGTCGTGAAAGCTTGACTGGCAAATACCCTAAGCTCAAGTCTAACGTGATTTTGAGAGTAAGGCTGTCTATTATGGTAAATACTAATGAAAGATTTTCTACTGGGTTTCTTATCCGATCTTAATGACATTTTCTTAAAATACTGATTTTTATTGCTATCGGTAATCGATGCTTATCGATCTTGGATAAGTTATTGATAAAGTAAAAAGAAATTTATCGCAGCTTGGTCAGATTTTATTTTCTAAATCTCTTAGTTCCTTCAGCTTTCAAGAGACACAGACGAAGGCCTAGACTGACAATATCATTTTACTCTTTTCCCATGTTTAATGGGTATATTATACATATTAATATACAATTGAATTATTATATATTAATGAATAAATTTCCACCCAGACAATTTTGCACACCCTGAGCATTCATGTTTCTTAATATAATATATAGATTTATAGATTTTCTGACTATTAAGTGACATTGTTTGCTCTTTTATCTGGTTGATTAAACTGTTTAAGTTGGGATTTTCTTGATGTGGAGTTGCAGTGTTCTGTCTGTACATGTATATAGCATATGTATAACAGATAGATGATAGATTGGTGTGGAAAGTTATGCATCGCAGTATATCAGCAGCTAATAAGGATTGCTTTCATTAGCAATGTATTTTGGAACTGTGTGCCACCTACGAGTTCGTTGTAAGGGCT